CCTAGGAAGTCACGGCCGTGCTTGGCAAGCCCTACATGATGACTCATAACATCGATCTTGTGGATGGTCTGGTCAACGGTGCAGTTGGAGTCTTGCGCCTGTGTGAGCTCGCCGGCCCGTTGCCCGATGATGTAGATGGAGTGGATGAAGAAGGAGAAGGAGACGAGGATGAAGAGACGCACGTGAGGCGACTGTGGCTCGAGTTCGATGTGCCCGGTACCGGAAAGCTCACGCGTGCTCGCGCCGCTCGGGCCGTTCACGAGGCCCGTTCCAACGGCTACGACGTGACCAGCGATAACTGGATACCCATCGAGATGCAGTCGGCCACCGTCACGGTAGATCGAAAGGCCAACATAGCTTGTAAACGGACGCAGTTCCCCCTTGTCCAGGCCAGCGCAATCAACACCTTCTACCACAAGCAAGACAACCCCGACAAACCCATGCTCGATGGGTTTCGGAGGCTCGAGAATCACCGTCTCGTCACAGTCACGCAGCGCTATCTCTCCGCTCCGAGGGACCAGCATTTCTGCAGGGTGTGCGAGGGTGGCTGTAGGGAGTTCACGCTCGCGCTGCTAAATTTCTGCTCTCTCTCGGCGCATGCACTGGACGTTGCCAAAGACCCCGTACTCTCCAGAGTTGATCTCCTCTGCCTCACGAACACCTGGAACCGCTCCTCCGGTGACTGCGCTGCCGATGTCTCCCTGAGTGGCTACGATCGCGTGACCCGGGCTCTCGCCGAGAGAAGGGCTGGTGGAGTGGACGTCTTCCTAAAGCGCTACCGGCCCTTCAGTGAAGAGCTCAGGCGACAGCAGGACCGGACCCAACTCCTGGTCCTACAGCGTGCCGACCTTGCTCCTGATGCATCGCCGCGAACGTGTCCCACTGACGACCCGTGCTCCTTCGCCCGGAGTGGAAGCCGGGGCGAGTACTGCGGCGTGTGCTTGGTTGGACACGTCTACGCCAACGTCCTCTCGCATGCCGTGTGTACTTCGCCGTTCAGAGACGACTCGCCGTACGCTTCCGTCTACACCAGTGCCTACTCCGGCGATGCCGTCCTGGTTGTGACCGTCTACCTGGCCCCGAACCTTTCGAGAGATGACGTCTTGGAGCAGATGGATGCAGCGATGGAGAGTGAGTCTGTGCGCGCTCGTCTCTCGGTTCCGATTGTGGTGGTGGGTGACTTTAACGTGGACGTTAGAAAGGACAATGGCTGGTTGGTTGACCACATGCTGAACAATTACTCTATGACGTGTCTGTCTCTCGAGTTTCTGACCACAATCAACGGTGGCTTCATAGACTTGGCGTTCAGTAGGAACTGTACGGTCCGCTCCGTCTTGCTGAATCCGCTCACCGTACATTTCTCGGATCACAAAGCGCTGGTACTAACCGTGAGCTACAACGATAACACGAGTAGGTGCTAATCTGTAGTGTAGTTTGTGTGTGTGTGTGTGTGATGCGCTCGCGATGTGTGCATTTAATGCATCGTGCGAAAATCGTGAAGTGTAAATAAATAATACTTTGTTTATAATGTATCTGTGTACAAACGCTTCATGACAAACAACACTTAAATTCATTAATTACACTTTAATCATCATCATCAGTAATAAAACTCCCAAGCATTTCCCCGAGGGTGAACATGGTTAAGTGCGAATGCACGGGATGATGCTATGAGGGGGAGTAAAGTTAAAATCCGTTGGCATTCGCCAGTGAGTTAACGTAAACTCCCCCGTGTGATCAAATTGCGATTCCCAGGAACCATTACACCATAAAGGCACCATAGTGTGATTAATAAATATAATAGTGAGAATTAATAAATACCCCTCATAGCATCACCCCGTGCATTCGCACTTAACCATGTTCACCCTAGGGGAAATGCTTGGGAGTTTTTGTTGTTCTGATAGGTTTGCGTGATCTCACCGACTTCGATATTTCGCCATTTGTTCCACGCAAATTAACATTCATTTTTTATGCTTCCGCACATGTGCGGAAGGCATGCTGAGCCAAGTGCAAAGCGAGCGAGGACAGGTCCTAAACACGAAAAGAATCGCGAATAATCAAAGTGGGTGGGGTAGCGTACGTCGCGCGTGCACTAGAACGATACGATAAAACAACACGCAGACGATCAGATTCAGACGATGTTGGCAAATGGTCTGGTCACTCCAGTCCAGACCGGCGACGTCAATGACATTACCACTACCAGCGATCAAAAACGGGGGAGATGGCCCACCGTTCTTGGAAAGATGGGTGGCAATGTGAAAACACGGGCCGCGTCTGGCGATGCGGGATGTTCAGAGTAGCAGGGGGACAAAGAACGGAAGGGTGCGTTTTGCAGTCGGGGAGAGCAGCAACTAGAGGGGCGCGGTGGCAGGGTCGGCATTCAACGATAATAATCTATGGGCACCTCGCCGATGCCTTATCCGTGGTCGAAAGTGGTTTCCCGGGAAGTCGGCAGAGTGACTCCGTTCGCTCTAACCTATTGGCGGCGCTCGAAAACGTTCGTTGTAAGTGCAATTGTGTCAGTGAAGCAATAAATATTTTCACGGTCACGCGGATATTGTTGTTGAAGTGGGGCCGTTATATGTGGGCTTGGCTGTATTAGATGCTTAAGTGATGTTTTAGACTTTAGGAGTTGTTAGGATCATGCATCTGCTCCATAAACACCAGTAGCAACCCTAAGCTATACAGTCGCTGTTCGATTTTTTGGACTCCAAAAATTAGAACTTGTTGGATATTTCGGACTTCAAAATTGCATCGTCAGGATTCCCATAGGGCTAATGCATTTTCTCGATCGATTTTTCGGATGAATTCGTCCCCTAAAGTTGGATTTTTCGGACTAAATTGTTTGTTTTGATCAGAGCCACGAACCTGTATGGACGCCGCCTTGTTAGATTTTCTGCCGGCTTCACTAAGCTTAGTGGCTTAATTTTAAAATGGCTTTCCTGCCTCCATGATTGGAAAGCAAACGTCATATTTCAAGTTTCGGAGACTGTGTCTGCTTTAGAAAATGCGGCACAGGACCATTTTTTCATCTTCGTTTAGCTGTAGTGGTCATTACTGTCGTCATCGCACCGTACAGGGGGGAGGCGGAGCTGCGGCTACTGCGCAGTAGTGGAGTGAATGTGCCTGCCACGATGACATTAGGGAGTTCTAGAATAGCGCACTGCGAGCCCTTGCGGAGGCGTCGCTGCTACTGCGCATGCGTCGTAACGTGAGTCGCCGTTCGCGGCCTGCCCGCAGAAAATCCGAAACAGCAAGCGGTGATCGAGGCCCGCGAAGTGTTGTGTGTAGCTTCCGTGCATTTGAGTTTGCGGTCGGGGTGAATGTCCCTAGACCTCTCCCGAGGAGGAGCAAACGCTATTCTAGAACTCGTAATGGGTCTGCTATACCTGCAGCGCCTGCAACCGTTATGCTAAAACTCCCTATTTAAAGACTTCACTTGTGCCGACAATGACAATATTGTGCGCGCAGCCCATAGACGAAGAAATTCTTTGCCAGGTTGTGCCGCAGCTGGAGAGTAGTTCGGATGGCGATGCTTTTGTCGAGCATTTACGGTGACGATGTCACCTTGACACAAATATGGGTGAACCAAATTGTTTCTAAGCGTAGTATGAGGCAAGGCAGAATCATGGGCTTTTCAAAGCCTGCCTGGTGCAATAAAGTTCATATTTCTGACAAAAACCAATTTTTCGGACTGTTCAATTTTTCAGACTTTTTTTTTTTTCAGTCCCCGCCAGGTTCGAAAAGTGGGTCGGCCACTGTAGCATTTTTTTATGCTCCAAAGACACTTAAGGCTGCTCCAAAGCATCATTTTTTTTTTCCGGGTCCAGAATCTGCTTCGAAAAACGAAATGTCACTATCATCACTGTATAATGGTCCATAGCGGCCTTGGTACATGGCTGTTACTAAATTTGTGGTGCGAATGGTTTGATGATGCTCTAGCCTTAGTGCTGAGAAAACTTCAAAAAAACATTCCAGAGTTCCTTTAATTTTTGTAAATTGGAATGCTAGTGAGCACATTTCATTGCATGCCTTGATTCTTGGGCACGCGAGGCTGTATGCTGAGCGCGTTTTTCTCTAGTGTAGCCGATGAAGAAGATTGTTTCAGCTGTAGTGCAAATAATCGTTACTTCAGCGACTCCTGCTATCAGCGGTGTATGCTGTAGACGGAAAACAAATTTTTTGAAGTTTTACCTCACCAATAGGCGCACCCCAAACTTGGAGCCACACTATCTGAAAAAACAAAACAAAAACATTGCGCTTATTATGCGAGTAAACACAGTAAGTGTGCTGTGATCCTCGTCAATTGCTGAATTCAAAGCAATAATTTATTCAGGCTCACTGCTGGTTTAATAAATGCAACACTATTTTTAAATATATTTGTAATCAAACATCAGGTGTATAGCCTGAAAGATTTGATGTGTGGGATCTAGAGTTTCAACTGCGGCAGTTCGGTGACACACTGAGATCTGCCAGAGTCCTTGAAGGACTCTGGACTATCTACAGATTGTGTTTATATGCTTCAGGATTGTGTTTGAATACCCAAATTTTATTGAATGTAATGTCACCCTGAATGTATAATAGACGTTCGTGGGTAAATCTAGTCGCACTTTTGCAGCAGCAAAACAACTGCAACGCTGTTTACGCTTCAATGCCCACACACAGGCTGAGACACCCCTAGCGGCTGCTCCAGCCTCTGTATCAAACATTCGTGCAAGCTTCATGACCAGTAGGAGTATTGAAGGACACTGCCTCTACTTACCACTTAGGGTTGTTTAATGAGCACATAAGTTATAGGTCTTCTTATATTTTAGTCCACTCTCTTTTTTGTACTTTTGTTCATCTAACAGAAGAGCATTCTCTTGCCACATGTTTCGCAGCAAGGTGCATTCTCATTTAAAAATTGTTAAATTTGTTATCTGCATTTCGCAGTATCAGTTTTGTTCGAGCACTATTTCAGGCCATTGTAGCGTGTTTTAACAACTGTCATTTCTTATACTCAGATTATCGACCGTCTCAAGAGATGGCTGAACTGTGCAGCGCACTGCTTATGAACATGGCAGAGTGGGATGTCTTCTTGGAGATTGAAAAACAGCAGCGAGGATCAATAGGCGTATTCGAGGTGAGCTCATGATGTTTACTTGTCTCAAGAACACTCTGTAAGTGTTTCTTCAGTAAGGAAGGTAAGGAGATGAGATAGTATGATAGAGGGGCTTTGCGAAACTGTTTTGAAACATTTTCTCCTTGCTTCCGACCAGTGCGACATTACTGCGAGCTATTGATGCTTGTTTCACGGCCTTGTAGCAGGTGCTAGTTGGCAAAATAAGAATAAAAAAAAGTTGAGCCAGCTGCATCTTTCTGCATAGGAGCTGTGCATCTGTAATCGTGTGATTGCACTTTCTGAAGATTGTTACTTTTTGAAGTTACTGCATGTAGAAATTGGCTCACAAAGTGACTGTTATGTATATATTTTTACAAACATAATGAAAAAGCATTATGGACGTCTATGAACTACATGGCCCCTTTGAGTCAACGTGTATGATTTATTAAAGATGGCTTCTTGATAAGCACAGCCTCAAAAATTGTATTGTGGTTCAAAAACCAACATTTGCTGCGGGACATTTTCACAGCGCCCAAAATGATGTGCTCTTCAAATAATTACTGGTATTTGACAAAGAAAATAGCCTTTTAAACGTGAAAGTACCTCATTTCTGTCATGGCATTTATAGTACTGCCATTTTAAATGGTGTTCAGTTAGATCTCTGTGTAATGAAATCAGTAAAATCTGCACTTTACCTTGTTATTTTGAAATTTGACATTTATATATATGCGTACCTGCCAAGTCTCCCGGATTTTGAACGTTTCTCCCAGTTGTACGTGTCATAGGAAAATCTCCCAGAAATCCACTATTGCCCCTCGCATTCAGTGCTTTGTCTGGCCACTTGAGAAAGTTCTCTGGCCATTTAGTAAAAAGAATTATTTTTTTTGGTTAGCGATAGTAGCAAAGTTCAACTCTGTTCAATGTGCATTTTCAAGAGGTGAAAAGAGCGCCAGAACATGCAGCCTGCCGAGTAGGAGCAGCGAAATCCCCCATGGCTGTGCAGTTTCTGAAGGTCACGCACATTAACTAAAAAAAAATAGAGAAAACTTCATTGTAGCAGAGGGAGGGCAGTGACCTCGTGGTACAGTTGATGCTTTTGCTGGCTGTTAAATGTGCCAGCATTCCCACACGAGAGAGAAAAAAAAAAGGAGAGCAAAAAGGGAGTGCTGCCAGACTTGCATGACGTGACTGACGAGCGAGCGCGTTTGCAAATTCTTTGTGGCTGTTCTATTGCAGCCAGCAGCGGGTGCGCTGCTGTTAACCTTTGGGGTTGGGGACGAGTGCATAGTCAGCCCTTTACATTGACATAATAGGGAGTGGCACAGGGACTCGGGCAGACAAAGAGGGGCAGGGGGGGGTGACGCTCCGACGAACCTTTACTTTCCCCCTCCTGTACCTGGAAGGCTTATGCCCACACCTCACCACACACTTTCTGTACCTTTCAATTGTGCGACCTTTTTCGCCTCTCCCTCAAGCAGCTAAGCTGCACCCTGCTCCCGAAAGGGTTCTTCAAACTTAATGGTGGGGCTTTTTTAAGCCGCCCACCACGATTAACCAGATTAACCAGCCGGTTCTCCCTTTCGCAAGTCAGAACTTTCTAAAATTTTCTTTCTCTTTTTATAATCCGACCGTTTTCTCTTCACTGTTTCTTTTATCCCCAACCCCCTTTTTGAGGGCTCCTCCCTCATATCCTTACCTTTTTCCTCCAACATTCCTGTTTTTTATCTGTTTCTTTTTACTTAACCGAAGGGTTGCTGAAAAGAGTGCCTGACGCTGCCTGGTTTCTCGGCGAGCTGGGGAAAGGCGAGTAGTTGGCGAGGACTGTACTAAGGTTCCTTGCCCGACAAAATAACTCGTAAGCAAGCAACGACAGGCCTCACACATTGAGCGATGTTATCGCGTGTGCCCTTTGCGCGAGGGTGACTGCCGGGTCGTTTCATCTCTGCTTCAGCCGTGTTGGTCCCTAGCGCAAGGGTGCTTTTACTCGCACGTAAAACAGACGGACGATGCGTAAGTGATGCTATCAGTTTGGACTCTGTACAGATCAGTGGCGACCGCAAAATTCTGCTGACAGTGTTCATATAAATGTTATCGCAATACCTCCTCCCCCCTCTGTACGCGGTCGACATATTGTATACTCCCCCCCCCCTCCCCCATCGAGTAGATCTCCCGGTTTGCATTTCTCCAAGCTTTGCAGGTATGTATATCATAGTCTCCTGCCCATTCTTCTTTTCACACAAAATGGGCCACAAAAAATGCCTGAACAGCACAGTACAAAAAAAAAACGAAATTCAATATCATAAAAAACTTGACTTTGTCTAATTTTGAAGCCAGCGATCACATTAATTGTTTGATGCTGCTTTGATGAAGTCCTCTGATGGTGGCAGTACTATATGGGGAGAGGAAAAAAAAGGAAAGAAAAAAGGTATGAGTTCAACGCCGACAATTGGTGTAAGTGACGTTACTGAGCTGATTCCGCCACTACGACTGGCCATCAGAGTTTTCGCTGCTCGATGTGGTACAACACCAAATGCTTGCTCTTCACGAAGTTCAGTGAATCCGCATTACTTGAAACCCAGCTCATAGCACAAAAACAAAAGAGCTCTGGTTTGAAATTTCTTTAACCTTCTCACCTATGTCACCTGAAAGTTCTTTAATCATACCAGTTGCAAAACTCTCCATAGAACCCATGCATCAAAATCCAAACTCACCATTTGCCAAAATTGCTGAACATCTCATGATTATCCCGTCATCTGTTGAACAAAAAAAAGCGAACTAATAAATGTTTGTGACAACTACAGCACTTTGTGTGGCTTTGAGCGGTTAGCGAGAAACACAGTCACAGCGGCGCTGTGGTGATTCAGTGTTCTTCATTGCTGCTCCCAGATGGGGTGGAAATCTGCAGGTTCTGGTAGGATTGGCTATGGGCATGCCCGAGTTTTGTAACGCAGTTTCACACCTGCTATGATTTAAGCACTCCGATCTTGGTTTACCTTTATTTTTGGAGGGTAGGCACATAAAATTGTGCCATCATCAATCAATAAATGTCATAATGACACCCGGATGTAAGTTTGGGATCTCTTTACTCTTAGTGTTCGTAGTGTTACAGTGCAAAAACGTGTAGTTAAAAGAACACTGACAAAGGTTTGGTTTTGCCCTTAGTATTTTTTTTTTTTTTTGGCAATAGGTAGCTTATGACCCACTTATCACGGCTGGAAACCTTGTTTGTTCGAGTGCGCGACGATTATTTATTCAGAAATGTTTTTATGAGTGCCCAGCCTCATTTTTGGTTTCGAAGAGCACCGAGCTAGGCTGGAGCAGTTGCAGAGTCGAGGTAAACACAGCTGGCTACGGGACCACGCAAAACAGTGGCATAGGCGCCGTGCATGAAAATGTGCGCGAGCAGGTGCTGCACTGACAACCAGTACAGCCAGCATACGTGCAACCCCAAGCATGGAGTAGTAAATTAAACGTAGCGCGAGCGCAAGACGTGTGTAAGCAAAAGCCAACATGAACTCGTGATTTCTCCTCCGTTGATGTCGGCATCGTGAGGGGCTCTGCATTTCGACCAGTCACGCGGCGTGCACCTTAAAATTGATCTTAAATATGTTCTAGCTTATATTTGCCCTTGATATCTCGTAGATGTGTATGTCTCCACATGAATTTATCTCGCTCATTATCTTGCCTTTCAAATTTTGAGAGTGCTCTTTTAAGGTTCACTAAAGGGAAATATATTAATTTATGCTAGACTGAAAGGTTAGGCTTGAGTAACAACCGATTCACCATTCCTGGCAGGAACAGACTGTCTACCTGGATGTGAAAAAATGACCAAATCGAGACATTGGAATGAAACCTCTGGCTATCCTCTATGGTCCTGATGTTAAGCCGTAGCCATAGCCTCTAGTATTTTGATCACTAGATTACTGCTACATGCTACAGCTTCAGTGAAAAGTGAATTAAACAAGTTCTGGCAATAAATTTTCAAGCAGTAAAGCAGAGTTGTTGCTCATATTATGGACATGGAACTCTTGGACACCTGCAGATTCGCAGAAATTTGTAGCCAAGATGTCGTGCCGAGTCTTCTGTAAAGTGTGGGCTATTAAAATATGACTCAAAAGAAAAATTTTCTTGTTAGTGTGCACAAAGTGGCACTGGGCTCCAGCACATGTAGATTGCTGAGTTCAAGTTAATATTTATAATTCATAATTGGAAGCTTAATATTTTCCTGTAGTGTTATTTTAAAGAACACACAATATGTTCTGTGACTGTGTCCCTTTCCTGTTCTTGGGGTAGTTCATTGTTACATTTGTCCAAGCTGCTTGTTGTCTAATGTAGGGCATTTTGTTGCAGTTGTCCAAGGCATTGGCAGCAGTCTGCAAAGATGTCTGCTCAAACAAGTTTACTCGATCTGTTGCTCAAGAGCTCTGGGATCTCTGTGAGTGTTCATAATTACTGTAATTCTATCGCCTTCCTTGTTAATTCCTCACACCTTGACAAGCAGCATGAAAAGAAAATTACCCTGTACAGCATAGGTTACAAGGTATAGATGTTGCTGAGTGCTTTTTGTTTCAACTAAACAGCGGAAATAGTACAACAAATGCATTTTCTGAGCTTTAAGCAGAGAAGGTAGTACCTTATTTATTTGCATAATAGGATCACTTTCTTTCCAGAAAATCTGGCACCAAAGTTTGGGGTGCGCCTGTCACGCGGGCAAAATTTCTGAAAATTTTATTTCTAACTACAGCATAGACAGCTGATAACGTAAGTTGCCGAAGTTGCAATATCCGCACTACAGTCCAAACAACCTTCTTTATTGGCTACACTTGCGCACAAGGTCTTGAGCATGCAGTCTCGTGCGTCTGAGAATTGAGGCATGTGGTGCGGTGTGCTTACAAACATTCAAATTTACAAAAATTTAACATTGAGAGACCTGCGTTCCCAACGAAATGACCGCTCAAAATAAAATTACGAAAAGAAGGGGCCATCGCAGAAATTCGCCGATTACGTTTCAGGCTACCTAGATTATGCGCATTATCATGACCAAAATTTTGTGCACTGAACGGTAGTGAATGTTCATTTCACGGCTTTGCACCTCATATCCAAAAACATTGCAATCAAATCTTGAACTATCATTCGAGTGTTACAAGTGCCACCCATGCCTTCTTTCTTTCAAATAAAGCCACCACAAAGAGTTATGTTATTCTGGTACAATACCGCCACTTTGATTGCCCGTGATCATTACCGAAAAGCAATAAATCCTGATTAGGCTTAGTCTTCGGTTTGGCATGTTGTCATGTTGTCACGGGAAGTTTGTACGAGACACATGAAGATCGAGCATAAAAACGATTGTACTCGAGCACTGATCCAAGAGCAGTGCACGTGATGCACTGTTTAGGTTTTGGGGCCAGGAAATCAACAGGGACAAAAGTTTGCCAAGCTTGTGCAAGCCCGCCTAGTGGCAGCAAAGGCGAAAGATCGCAACAGAAAGCCGAGAAGTTTTTAAACTTGCGGACGAGGTGGCAAATGCGATAACACTGATGCTATTCCTGACAGGAAGCTCAAAATGGGCTCGATCAGAACGCGATTGCACAATCCTTTGCACCGGCGCCGGTGCAAAGGTTACACCGACGTCAAGGCGACCGCCCTTCTTCTTTATTCGTCAAGCCTGTGCAGCGTAGCTTCGCTCTTTTTTTTTTTTTTACCTCACTCCAGATAAGTAAGTGGGCGTCGAATTGCAACAGTGCCAATACGGTATAGAAGCGCTATTATGCAGGATCAGCTGAGTTTCGCCCAAGTTCGCAAATTTCGGAATCTTCCTAAGCTTTGGCGACACCCTTTTATGAACCAGCCAACAGTACGAAAAAGTCAAATCCACCCCGCAGCATGCTGCGTTTCATTGGTTACGATGGAACTTTGTTACGATGGAACCAGTCATCGTGTCAAGGACGATCAGCTAAATTGGGCTGTGTTTTCAAACCAGAGGCATCTTCTTTCATTTGTTTGTCATTCCACTGAGTGCAGAAGTGCACCCTGTCATCACTGGGGACTGGCATTGCAAGAGACGCCCTTCAGCTGAGCTCTCTGAAGGGGTGCTCGTCGATGAGAATGCTGTCTATGTCTCACAAGAGCGCGGGAACATTCTCAAGTGCACTGCAAGGAATGCGCACTGGCGAGCCAGTGACACGCGGTTTGCATCGCACACGAATGCCGTGACACGCAGTCGGTGTTTCAGGAGAAGTGTGTGCCCGGACAGAGGGGAATATAAAGCACGTTGAATGTGCACAGGGGTGCTCTCTCTATCGCCGCGTAGCGTTCACCGCATCAAACGCTTGACAGTCACCATTACAGTTATGAGTTGAACTCGGGTCTTCTCCAAATCAACAAGTTTGTATCTGAGTTCATGCGTCTATAAGTTTCATTGAGAGACGCCCGCAGCGAACATAAAGTTTGCCCTCCACTTTCGCTCTCGCAGAGAAGCAGTGCTCACGCCACAATTCCAGCGAGCGCACTCTTCATCTGCCAGCTTTATCGCGCTGAGTATGCACACATGCACGCAGATTGTTATGTAACCATGTGGCTACTATAAGGAAGGTATAGAATCATGCGCCGCGAGCCCTTGCGGTGAGGTCCCTGCCACTGTGCATGCGCAGTAACGCGAGCCGCTGTTCACGTTCGCGGCCTGCCGGCCCAAAATACGAAATAGCGTGCGGCGATCGCGACCCACAAGGCCCGCGAAGTGCTGCGTGTAGCTTTGTGCACTTGGGTTTGCGGTCAGGGCGAAAGTCCTAGACCTTTCCTTAGGGGGAGCAAACGCTATTCTAAAGCTCATATGGCGCCCGCAACTAAAGCAACGCCCGCAACACCGGCGAACGTTATTCTAAACCTCCCTATGTCTCGTATTCAATTTCACCGCACTCACGACATAGACAGTCACAGCCTCGTTGCTGACAAGATGCGAGCGCCCGTGGTGACCACCTGTCCTTACATTTATCCGCAGTACTTGATAGAAGCGAAACGAGCAGCACGAGAGGGCTGCATGTGCAGCCTTGTTGCCTTCGAAAGTGGAATATTCCATGCTGCAGGTGGAACGAAAGAACCAGTGCAAAAGAAGACATACGCTCACTAACACACCTGTGGGAGTCGCATGTTGAGTTGGCAAAAATACAGCACGGCAATCGCACTGACGCACTCGCATGCAGTGTTTCTTTGATAAACACTGCAAATGCCCCACAAGCGTTTCCTACGCCACGCATGTTCATGTAGCTGTTTTTATCAATGCTGCTATGTAGAGCTCCGCACTGTCTTCATGCCATGGCTACCAGAAGCGAGCTCGGAGCAAACTCGGCTGCCCGAGAAGCTCGGGCCATGATGCATTGCACCCCAAAACTACTGATCATGGCTCTAAGTTCAGGAGGTACCTTGTATGTGTCGAGATAAAAAAAAAAACCTAATTTCTCGCAACCAAACTTCGAGTGCACCTATTGTGCGAATAAATATGGTAATACCTGGTAATATATGGCATGTGGAAGAAACATGTGCAGGCTCTTGTGCCAAGGAATGAAGCCCAACTTCAAGTTTTGTCATGTAGAAGCTGTGTAGATTTTCATTCTCCTTCCATCCAGTAAGCTTTTGCTTATTTCATTAATTTCATTGTGTTTTTGTTCAAGGGTGAGTATATTACCCTGCATTCTAAAATATTCTATGAAGCACCTAGTGCTAAATTGTACTACTAGCATCTTACAAGTGTGCAGTCTCATCGCACAGATACGTTGCACTTGTACTATGTGAATATCGTAAAATTCTTGCTTCCTCAAGAATTTTAGGAGTGAGCACTGTTATACTTAAGTTACAAGATGTCAAACTATCTGCTTTAGTTGGTTCTGGCTTCTCATTTGGCCGTACAAACCTTCGTAGAAGCTGAGAGAGGCAGGCATAGCCATTCGGCTTGGCTGCTTTACCATGTCGCTGATCATGTCATCAATACACAGCCAATCACACTGCAAGGCTTCATTCACGTGTCGCTTGTGTGAGGGCAGCACTAAGGTCCCCCTTGTGAAGTGGTGAAAAAGCATGATGAATGCACTGCCAAAATCACCACATCACCGCAGGGCCAAGGTGCCGTTTTGGAGTGCTGAGATTTTATAGACAAAAATGGTGCTATTTAATGTTGCCGGTGCCAGATTACATGACTTCACATACAAGGAGGATTGGACAAATGCTGGAAAAGGTTGCGGAGATTGTTCATTCAAATGTAGCAACTGTGCAGCACGTAGCGCTGTGATATTCATAAAATTTGGTCTCTCCGGTAGTCTGCACTCATTGGCGAGCTTGTTTGGGAGATGTATAAAAAACGTGGAGCCTGTTTGCTAGCCCTTTAATAAAGTTATATGGGGAGGCATAGTATCACACTTAACTGGTAAATAAACACAGACAAAAAACAAATATAAAGGGATTTCAATTTTTTACTGACCTTCATACTTCTTGGATAGTGAGAAATGGATTTCTTGCATTTGATTTGCCAAGGCTACATGAAATGCATAAACAATTACTTACTTCATATTTTTCAATTTCAACTTTTTTTTTCTTTTTGAAAAGCGTGTATCAAACCAGGAGCCTTTTTATGTTCTTTAATCAGGACAGTGGATCTATCTCAGATAACTAGTAGTATGTTCCACTGCAGTACAATATTGTGTTGTGGTGACGTCTGTTTCATATATTTCGTCATTATGGGGTGTGAATGAATCCTTCATGGCAAGCAATTCACATGTCAAGACGCAAAGATTGCATTTTGTTTTCTATGTCATGCAGTGCCCTTGAGATACAATGCCCTATTTGACAGTATATGCCAAAACAGTGCCTCTTCATTGACTTGAATATTTTCAATGAAACGAGTAGTGATTACAGGCTGCTTGACGCACATTCGTTGAAGTGCAGTGGTGTAATGTTTTACATATAAAATATGGAGGTGAACAAGAGTTTCATGTATGCACAATACAGTGTTCAATTTTTTTTGTGGAACCTCCAAGGAGCTTTCAAAGCTATTTGATGTGCAGATTAGCTGAATACATCAGGATTTGATCATACTAAGTATACAATAGATCGAGCTCTCAGTATGGGCCTTACAGTACAGTTATTTTATTCAGTTATGGTAGTTATTTTAGGTTATCTGTTAGACTGTGCTTGCAGCTGTGAAAAAATATTGCATGTATTCATAGACACTAATATGAACAGTTTACTATCTAGCCTTCATTTGGCTTTTGATATACTTGAAGAGAAAAAATACTTGTTTTACTATTTAGTACTTTGAATCCAGTGTTTTTGTAAATTTTTTATATCTGTTTCTGTGTACGAGTTTTTTTTTTCACCAGTTACTTTACTGTCAACATTGCTTGCCATGTTTATTATTCAGTACTGTCGATGCTCCTAACATCAGAAAGCCAGCAGCAGAAAAGGTCTGTTATAGGAGCTGTCAAGGATGGTGGCCAGCGGGACACTGTCGCACCCACTTTAAGCAGGTGAGATTTTATCCTTCTGCGGAAAAGAAATTTGAGAACACTAAATGACATATTTATTGGGGAGGGTGGGTATCTTATGTGTTGTAACTTCATGTTGGAATTACAGGCATGTTTGTCAGGCATTGCTGCTTATAGTGTACAAATGGCTTATAATTAACTGTGGTATCGTATTTTTGTAGTGTTAAATTATAAAATGTTTAATAAATAATTAAGTGCAATAGAAGCTGTTTCTAGTATTTGGTCGAGCCCGCTTATAATGAACCTGAGCATGATGTGGCATCTGTTCGCTGTATATCAAAGTTTGTCATAAATAAAACGCAGCTTTCAGAAAAGTTGCGAGTGAAATCACAAATTTTTTTTTTCCTAAAAAAAAGTCTTTGATACAAGCAATTAGTATAGCAGAAGTGATAACGATGGTCTCAAGTGGCAGTGTGCTCTTTGCCGCGACTCGTGGCATATACACTCAAACCTCGTTATAATGTAACGGGATATAATGCAATAATGGATATAGGGAAGTGAATGAAATTCCACTTGAAAGCTCCATTGAGAACCATGCATATGAAACCTCGCTGTAGCGAAGTGAAATTGACCGGTAAGTGGATGTAACGAACGAAATTGGTCTATCAAATAGCCTATAAAAAAACAGACCGTAATGTGTTAAGTATATCATTTTCTGCGGAGTTTGATGCTCGTTCGGAGCGGCTCTTTCGAAACTCCCGCGCCGACCTTACAGCCACGCCCCGCACTGCCAAGAGAGCCGTTCTCTTCTCACAGCCAGCAGAGAGGATTGAGGAAGCGCTCAGCGGGTCACATGACCGAGAAGTGGTACCGCGGTGCGAAGCGATTTCCTTCTCACGGCGGCAGCGATACAGGGCCTAGAATATACTTACTAGTGTGCCGACTGCGGCCGTCACGGTGGCACGGAGAATGATGCCTTCCACCAGCAGCCACGAGACGGCGATAGCTGCAGGTGTCGTGCTATCCTGAGACAATGGCCGAGCGGCCCGAGCGGAGTGGTGTGTCGGTGGCGTCTCTACCATGGCCGCAACAGTCTCTCTGCCAACGCGCACATGTAACAAGCGCCGATGGGCTCTCCCAGCCCACTTAGAACTGTAGTTTGCTAGTTGGGAGGCGAGGCGTAATGAAAGCAATATTTTTTCGTTGCACTTTTACAAACACACGTACACCCCATTATCATTAATACGGTACACGATATCGAGTGTCTGAACAAAAAATTGCCAATAAATAAATGAATACGCGGGATTTCCTAGTGAGGAGTCAACATTTATGAAGTTCAACAAAATTCAATAGTGAAACCCATGGCATTTGGTTGGGTTAATTATGCCACAACATTCGCTATAAGCAAATTTTTCTATTGCTCAAAGGTAGGATGAGGTCTTCGCATGAACTTCAATTCTCCGATGAATTTGATGCTAGCTGAACTCGTTAAACATATATAGCTTAATTTCTTAATTAATGAACTTCAAGCACTACAGCACATATCGTTTTTTTTTTTCGTTTTTGAGGATTTTGGACACATTCATTGACATACCCAGTACTGATGCGGACTTTGTCAAGTGGTGCAAGAAAAATAATGAATAATAACGCAACAGCATTATGGATAGATGCTACTTGTAGACACTTTTTTTTAATATTCACCCTAGAGCAATAAAACTTGAGCTGTTTATGGAACTTTTTATGCTAATTTCAAAGATATAATTAGTTTTCTTGCAAGTTCTTTACTTTTAGCTGTGCGAAATGACAAAGTTAAAACCTTAGCACTTTTGCCCCCCCCCCCCTTTTTTTCATTCCTGAACTTCCGTAATTTTTTACCATTCGTAGTTCATAATCTTTGAAATAAAGTGTAGAATGCAAATAACTAATTAGGAAGCACAAACAAAATATGTAATAGGCATGAAAAGTAATAGACGTAAAAGTCCATATTTCACCTACCCTAGTAAAGGTTTACATAGAATTCTTTTTATTATACAATAATATATTGAAATTTAAAGGAGATAATTGTATTTGCCATACTTTGGAAAAAATTTGGGCAATATTTCATGCAGATCCGAGCACAAGAAGTGCTCAAAAAAAAGAGGAGCACATTGAAAGAAATCGCAAAATTTGTGTTTTGAGAAAAACGAGTTTTAAAGTTAAGATTGAGTTTTTATTTATGAAAGCTATCGTTAAATCTGATGAAATTTGCACACCAAAAAGGACAACCCTTCTTGTAGTGTCCACTGCGACTAAAATACGACAGCCCCATGAGTTTGTCCCTCTCGGCTTTTTCGAGCCGACTACTCACAGACATTTCGCTTACAGACAGGGCCATGAAACGCTCGCCAAACTTCCGCTCCATCTGGCAGAGCCTTGTGCCAACTGCAAGCTAGGAAGAAGTTTGACAGGACTGCGAATTCCAAACTAAGTCTAGTATCATGCCATTTTGCGGCCATGTTTGTGTTGGATACCGTCATACATAATGGCAATGTCGTCCCTGCCAAGTTCTCTCACTGCGAGTTCTTTCAACCTCGCAAGATTGGTGCTGACGTGATTCATTGCCGCATCACGAACTTTCTGGCTGACGGGTGTGAATGACTTCTGATGCATTGGTTTTGATTTTGATGCATTGATCGCAAGTTTATCATTGATCGCAAGATGGTTTGGTTTTGATGCATTGCTCGCAAGTGAAAGCCGTTGTGCGGCTTTCACTTGCGAGCAATGCTTTTTTCCTTCATAACGGAGATAATTACACGAGAAAAGCAATGTTCAGCTGCGCTGCTCGACAAGACATGGACCCCGCTAATAGGTTTCACAGCACATACAGGCGTGCAGCGGCCAATGGGGGTGCCCGATCCGTACCACATGATAAGTCTGTCGCAACGCTCGAAAAACGCGCCGTGCTTCTTTTTATTATTTCTTGCGCCGCATCAGCAAGGGAAACTGTTGTTGCTTGAAGAGTGAGGCTCGACTCTTCGGCTAATGAGATCAACAATGGCGAGCGGCGGCGCATTATCGGCGGCAAGGTACTCGAAGACTGCACACTTTGGACCTTTTAACAGGCTCCTTGTGCTCTTTAGATGCAATTTTAAAGCATTTCCAGTTAAGTCTCGACCTGTATTTTTTTTCATAACAGTAGAGGTACTAATCTTATCAAAACAGGCAAAAATTTAAAATTGGTAATTTTGAAAAAAACTCGCATTTTTCGACCCGCATCTTCCCTTAAAGAGCTCATTTCGTATAAATGCCGTTGTCGGCAACGCCGGTATAGGCAAGAAATCGTCATGGCTATGAAAAGAAATCGACAGTTGCAAATAAAATGAAGGATACAGATATTTAGTTTGAGTTCTTCACGGGGAATTTCACTGATCACACCATTGACTGTCATTTTGAAGGAGCGCTAAATGTAGCAATCACTAAAATTTTGAAGGAGGACTCTCTGCAACAGCTTTCTTTTTTTTTTTCTCTCTCTCCGCACGCGGCCTTGAAAGGACAAGGGTCTCTACGTGCAGAGGCGGAAAAGGGAGAAGCGTGGCACAGGCGCGTCGCAGATCGGCATTTGAGAGAGAGCAAACAATCTGCCACAGTCTTTTCTTTCCTTTTCTTCTTTTCCTTCTTTGCGCGCAGCGTTGAGCGGTGCTGCTGCAGGATTGGGCATGGTGCTGAGAGCATTTTTGGAGCGCGGTATGTTCAAATTAACCGTCGCAAGTGCTTACGCGTTCGAATCACAGGGCATTTTCGCTCATTGGAACACACATAGCTTTTACGGGACCTCAGCGTGAGTTAGAATTACACTAAAGTTTGAATTAATGAGATCCGACTGAGTTTATTTTCTGCAGCACGCGTGGTCGCATCGCGATACATTGAGCCGCGAGGTGGTATCCTTGTTTGCATGCTTATATGTGTGCGCCCTTCTGAGCATACATTACCACAAACTGTTATAATCAATATAATAAAATAACTGTGGCTCCCCTTCAATTTCGTTATAACGAGGTTTGAGTGTACAAGCTGCCTGAGGCTATTAATGTAGCCAATTGCTACAAGTACGCTTGTGGGCACTGACTACAAAGTTTCGGTGTCCTCGCCATTCGATTCCTCCAAATCGCTCTTGCAGTGCACTTCATTCACAATTCCTTCATCCATGTATGGTTTCGCAGTGTTGGCATCATTATCGGTCGTAATGAGATCATTACAACAGATGTCTCACACGCCCTTCTATGTTGGAGTCGACGAAGCGCTGCCACAAATCGCCCGCAGAGTGGTTGTGTTCGGAATCTTCAGGCTCAGAATCGAGTCCGACATCTAAGAAATTAGCTTCGAAAAAACCGTTAGTACACATGTAGCCGTCACCGCCACCCACGAAGCCTTCATCATCTCCACAGCTGAATACAGGGACACACGACGCGGCAAGTTGACTGCCGGGAGGTCAGCAGATAGGAACAAGCGCTCTACAACGCGGCACCTATAATAAGTTTCTAACGCACAGATCACAGCCAAGTTAAGCGGTAACACTTTCAACGATTTGTTGAACAGCATAAAAAACCGTGGAACAGCATAGCCATCCTAACCATGTACGCACACCAACAGCGAGCAAGACATGCACGTGCGACATAGAAGCTAGCACGCCTGGAACTGCTTTGGGCCCATTTCTAGTCACTTCTGAACGACACTTCTGAATTCGAGCCAGTCACGTGGCTGGCGGCTGTTGTCGTGGAGCAATGGAAATGGGTAGAGTTCGGATAAAGTGAGGAGAGCATACTTGGAAGAGACATGCGAATGAGCTGCGATAGAGTGATGAGAGGGGAGCATACAGCAGGATGGGTACCTTGAAAACCAAAACATGCAGGAAGAGGGCAGGTCGGGAAGCTTGCTTTCAGGGGCCACGAAACGCACAACTCTCGCATAGGAACTTGGGAGAGCGATCTCCGTGCGCATAGGTGAAAGAATCGCATTGTGATGCCGGCAGACTTGCGCGTCTCTGCCGACTTAGATAATTCACAATTCATTTCGTGTAAAAGTCATCTTTATGCTTTTAAAGGCGTGTGGAGGGCATACTGAGTAGAGTGTGAAGTGAGCAAGAACACAGAGCAAATCGTGAATTTGTCAATGTCAGGGGGTAGTGCAAGCGCATGCACTGGAACGATGCCCCGCCACGGTGGTCTAGTGGCTAAGGTACTCGGCTGCTGACCCGCAGGGCGCGGGTTCGAATCCCGGCTGCGGCGGCTGCATTTTCGATGGAGGCGGAAATGTTGTAGGCCCGTGTGCTCAGATTTGGGTGCACGTTAAAGAACCCCAGGTGGTCTAAATTTCCGGAGCCCTCCACTACGGCGTCTCTCATAATCATATAGTGGTTTCGGGACGTTAAACCCCACATATCAATCAATCAATGCACTGGAACGATACGACACCAATGTAGACAAGACTCCCGGCCAGTTAACGTCACTGGCCTGGAGTGACCAGACGTTGGCAAATGGTCTGGTCACTCCAGGCAAGTGAATGGTAACGATAGTGTAACAAAACCAGTGATCAAAAACTAGTTGGCTGACCGGTCTTCGAAAAATCGGTGGCAAAGTGAAACCTTGTCTGGTGGTGCGGAGTGCTCAGAGTAGCAAGGGGGACAAAAGACAGAAGGGGTGTGTAACGAAAAAAATGTTCGGTGCGAGCAACAACTAGGGGGCTGCGGAGGCTGGGTCGGTGTTAAACAATAAAAATCTATTGGCACTTCTTCCATAGCTTACTGGTCATCTAAAGGGGTGTCTCGGGAAGTCGCCGAATTGTTGACTTCATTTGCTGTAACCTATCTGCGACGCTCTGAGGCATTCTTTGTAAGTGCGATTTTGCGCCATTGAATAGTGTATATTTCCACAGTCGTGCGGATATCCTTAGTTTTAAGTGATAGTTCATTTTAAGTTGGGCCGTTATATGTAGGCTTGACTGTATTTTTTTCATTTATATTTTCATTTCATATATATTTTTATTCATTTCGAATCAGCACAGTTTCAATAATGTGGGAACTGCTATTGTGGGAAGATTGCATGGAGCCACATCAGCACACCGCATCGCATACAGCAGATACATAATGATACGAATATTACAGGGTCACAAAAAAATATTTGTATCATCTGAAATGAGAAAAAAAAGTTGGCACCTGTTTTTCTTTATGGTTCTTCAGGGCAATCGCGATGTCTTGAACAGCTCTGAATGTCAGTGTTTTTTTATAAAATGTTAAAGTAGTACACCCACTGCACTGTTTCATTGACTTTAGCCCACTGCTGCTGAATGTGAAGCTATAACCTTTATTTTGTGCTACAGTGGCTATATTTTGTATGGTACTGTGGTGTATGCTAAAAACTCTCAGATAGTTGATCTTAACTAAATTTTCTCACTACAGCAACTTTTATAACCTTTAGACACTCATAGATGTTAAAAGCCATATTTCTTCAATTACAAAACTAGTTCCATAATACCAACTTTATCAGCTAGTACTGTTTGTTCTTCATTGTGCAATTTATTAGTTTCCTAATTCACTCTAAGATAATTACAAAACGAAACTAAAAATGAGCAGCAAGATTGTTAGCACATTTCCTTGCAGTCGCAATGTGGGTGATTCCACGAGACATCGAACATGCATGTTCGGTCGATACTTTTGTTTTGTCTGGGTTGTTTATGTGTCGTCTGGGCATCATAAAGTTATAAAGGCAGCATCGAAAAAGTGTAGATGTAGTTTGCAGTATTTCATATTAAAACCTACAGAAAAGATTTTCAACACAATGTTCATAGCTCGCGTTCAATTCGGCCACGTAATAAATGTATATTTTGCGGTAAGCAGAAACAGGACGCCTGCAATGCCTTCTTCAAATATTCTTCCTGGCACGCTGGGAACATTTTTCGCAAATACTATTTTGGGTTTCGTGCACTTTGAATGTGCCTACATAGCATGAAAAAATGCAGACAGAACAAAAATATCAATGAGACATGCATGCTCGATCTCTTGTGGAATCACCCTTGTACATGTTACTCAAAATAAAATCTCAATTGTATTTGTGTCTCGGCAGGGAGGCATTAAAGGGTTGCATACTTGATGCTTTCTGGCTTTTTTTCCTAGGCACACATTCCATTCTTTTCTTCAGCAGCTGAAGGTGAGTCGCCTCACCCTCATGTCACAAATCTGTGGTCGAGCTTGGTAAATAAAGAAGATTGCTGGTTCCAACACAGTGAATAAAATAGCTTTCTTTTTTTTTTAATAGACAAGCATCTTAACACCTATTATTAGCCTGTTGTACCATAGTGACATGCTGAGGTAATCTCCCTTAGAGAGGCCTGGCTGTGGGATTGCTGGCTCTTGAGCTAGGTCGTGTCACTTTGAAATGAAAAATATTCATGAAGTCTGTGGATGGCCTCCCAACTACGATATTGGACATTCTTTCTCTCTCTGTTGGCTGAGCCACTGTTTTACTGGCGTTTCTTTTGCATTCATTCTAATTGAGCAGGCATGGCAAACCAGGTCATTTATGAGTGTAAATGGTTTTTTTGCAGGTTTTGTTGAATAACAAAAGCTTTATATTGAGAAAAAGCTTAGTGGCCCTGCAACACTTTTTCAAGCAGCCGTGAACTTGCCTCACGAATTCACTGCCACGAAAATTTCACATTTTGTCCTGTACGAGCGGACTTGCAAAGATTTGTCACACGTTGCACTTGCATTCTTCCTTCTCTCGTCCCTGTGTTAGCGCTGGAAGCTAAGCAGGAAGGGATGGCATGGGGAAAGAAAGTACGACACGCGCGACTCATGACCTTGAGCACTTTTTAAGCAAGTACGACACGCGCGACTCATGACCTTGAGCACTTTTGTTTTTATCTTTGAATACGCAGCTTTCAGTGTGATTGCACACGCACATGTGGACAATTCGCGACACCAATAATGACTGAGCACGCCATGCTCAAATCAGCCAAAGGCTGATACAGTGGCTGTAACCAGTGATTTTTAGCTTGTAGTGTCACTTGTTGAGAGAAGAGAAAGCAGTTTTTAGCTGAGTTTGAAATTTATTGTGAATTCCAGGTTGCGTCCTGCGCTGTAATATTTGTCTCACATGTTTTCGGGAACCTCGACTTCTGATCGGCAGCGTTTCCTGACCATGCTCAAAAAGTGTTGCAGTGCCCCTTTAAAAGTGACCATCACAAGTAGGTCTAATTACAGCATGCATGCATATGGCTGTGCAAGCTAAAGTACTATTAGTTCATGATGTGGGATGCATTGTGTCTATTGACATGATTGGTTACTTGCTCTTTTCAATCTTTGCTTGTTTCTATACAAGGACAACTTGGCTTTGACGCTACTGCTGTCGTGCCTTGCCAGGATATACAATATTTTAAGGGTGAGTATGCTTTCTCTGGCATGCTTTATTACCACCAAGGGTTTCAAGAAAATAAGAACTAAACAGAGTATTTCTTAGTTTACACATTTGTTGCATAGAACACCGACTCTGTTAACTTACCTCGACTTGAAAGTTCACCCTGATAAGCTAGCAGCAGCACCACTTGAAGTGCCACTTCTTCTTTATACTTGAACGATGTTGCCGTTCCTAGGAATGTATTAAAGAGGCCCTGCAATGTTTTTTTCCAAGTACTAACAATTGAATGGTTTCATTAAAGGACTTAATTGCACATCATGAGTCAACTACTGCTAAAATTTTTAGAATCTGTCTAGTATGAGAGTAGTTACAGAGATTTGTCACACGCTGTAATCTTTTTCTCTTCTTTCATCCTGACGAGTGCGCTCAAATTTGAGCATAGACAGATGGCACAGGTGAACAAGTTATATGAAGCGCACGTCATGACTTCGAGCACTTTTTTTTCCTTGCAATAGCCCCTTGAGATGCTACTCAAGGACACTTTTTTTTAATAGTATTCACTTTAAAGCAATGAAACTTGAGCTGTTTATAGAGCTCAAGCTGTTTATGCTGAATTCAAATATATATAATTAGTTTCCTTGCAAGTTGCATACCTTTAGTTGTGCAATTCAACAAAGGGAGAACCTTAATTAAGCCTTTTGCTCTCCCACTTTCTATCACTCAACTCATAATTTTTCACCATTGATAGCTCCTAATGTATCAAATAAAGTGTGGAATGTAGAATGATGAAAACTACCAAAAAGTGCTGTGTTCTGTCAGCCTTACCGGAAGACTACGCCGCAACGCTGTGCCAGAAAAACCTCGAGCAGTATAAAGACGAGGCGAGAATTTGCTCGGAGTGTACCAATTCATGCTTCGTGCAGGCGATAATTAGAAAGTGCATGCAAAATGTGCATAAGACGTGAAAAAGTTCACATTTCTCCTTTTCTAGTAAAGTTCTACATTTAATTTTTATTATATAATAAGTACATTTAGATTTAAATAAGGTTTAAACAAGGATTGAACAAGCATTTCTCATACTTTGAAAAAAAAAAAAAATTCGGCAATATTACATGCAGATCCGAGCACCATAAGTACCCGTAAAAGAAGGGGCACAATGAAAAAATGGCAAAATTTTTGTTTTGGAGAAAACGAGTTTTGAAGTTATAATTGAATGTTTATTTATGACATATGTCAATAAATGCAAAGAAATTTGCACTCAAAAAAGAACAATTCTTCTTGGAAATGGCCACTGCCACTAAAATGTGCCAGCATCATAAGTTTGTCATTCACAGCTCTTTCAAACTGACTCCTCATAGACATTTCGCTCACAGACAGGGCCATGAAATGCCAAACTTCTTGCGCTACCTCTGGCGGAGCCTTGTGGCGACTGCAAGCTAGGGAGAAGTTCGACTTGACTTCGAAATCTAAACAAAGTTCAGTGTCGAGGGACACTACCGTGCCGATGCCATTGTAACTCTTGTGGCCATGTTTGTGCCATGTACCATTGTACATAACGACGATGTCATCCGCGCTAACTTCTCTCAGTGTGAGCTCCTTCGTCCTCGCAAGATTCGTGCAGATGGCATCTATTTCCTCATCAGGGACCTTCTGGCTCATGGCCTTGAATGACTTATGATGCAATGGCTTTTGCAAGCCAAGAATTGTCTCAAATTGGATCAACTACTCATAGCCCATTCCTACAGAGCGCTCCACCACATCAGCTTTGATGTTGACAGCGTAGCTATCGCGTGAGCAACCGCTTTCTTCATTCATAATTGAGATGAACACACAAAAAAGCATTGTTGAGCTGCGCTGCTCGATGAGACACAAACCCTTTGAGTAGGTTTCACAGCCAATACAGGCACTTAGGGGCCAATGGTGGTCCTTGTTCTATACCACGTAATTTAAAAGCCAGTCATGGAGCTCGAAAAATGTAGAAAAAGCATACTTCTTCTCATTACAGCTTGCGCTGCAGCAGAGTGGGAAACGATCGTTATTTGAAGAGTGAGGAATTTCAATATCAAAACTGAATTCTCTATTGCACCTGGCGTGCAAAGGGTGACCGTTCTGCTATGTCAGACCGGAACCACTTGTGACAATGTAGGGAATAAATTTGAGTCAAGGCACGTCATGGTTGCATTGTTTTCAGAAAAAGATGCAAGTAATCTCATTTGTGTGGCGTATTGCCTTACTGTTCCTGTACGGTTCGGTGTTTATACATTTTCTTTAAACTTCGCTCGTGAAAATCGCAATATCAACCCTTTGTTTGTCTGAAAAGCGTCAAACTCAGGGAATGGGGGAGAGCCAGCCACTGCAGCACTTTTTCTTGCAGACAGCAGAACAGCTTTTGCGCACCCCTTTATAGCTTAAGAAAGAACCAGAAACGCGCCACATACCAAATGCAAACATTAAGCTGTCTACTCTTGTATTTCAGAATGCTTGCCGATTTTTCTGGCTTGGCTGTGCCTCGGCACACCTTCATTTAAATTTCGTCGCTTCGTGTCATGCGTTACCCCGGTGTCCTGCCGTGCTTTGTGCACACCGCGTGCAATTAGTTTAGATCTTGCCTTTAAAATTCAATTAAGAATATCCTGAACAACTACGTGCAATTTTTGTGATTTGCAAGAAGCGGGTTTGCCATAAATCGTCATGCACTAAAGCTTTATAATGTCAACTGTGCACAAGTCAATAATTAAAGAATTAATGAAATGGTCAACAAATTAACAAAACCTAATGTTATTTAGTCTTATCAAAGCCATATTAGCTGCAGGAAGTCGTAGAGTTCATGTGTGTAAATTAAAGGAGCCTAGCTGTCACAGAATTCTTATAAAAAAACTATATTGTCTAAAAAAGAAACCTGTATATACTGTGTGCATGTCTGTATGCATGCATGTGAGTGTGTGTACTGTATCTCAGCTGCCCAAGTCCTTATGTGTTTGTGCTGAACACCCAGACAATTTCACATTTGATTATTTGTACATGTGGTCGGTGGCAAATAAGCATTCAAAGAAGTCATAAATTTATAAAAAATGTAGCAACTTGGCAACGAAAACATTTATAATTGAACAAACTTATGCCAATCAGCACTGCTACAATTCAGACGAACTGATTGTAATGATAGGGGCGTGCACAGTTATCAGCCAAACAAAATTACTTATCTTTAGCTGCTTTCTCTCTTGGAGATCTAACTTCGGGATCAAACGCTGGTCACTTGCTCTTTGTGTCGTACACATCTAAACTCAAACTCAAGCATGTGGTTTTGGGAAATACTGTGTATCAGAAGCTGTGACACTCATGATTCAATCACACTCTTATGCTAAACAGGAGTTTCGAACAGAGCTGATACTAAATGCTGATGACCAGCAAATGGTGAATTGTAACACTTACGGTGCTGGAAATGCACAAAAGCAATGTGGACATAACACATGGTGTTTTTATTGAATGGCTTCCATTGTTACAAAATTTTAAATCTGGCTCAATTTCTATCTGTTTTATCAGTGCCATATTCTTTGTCACAGTGCATACTTCTCAAAAACTGAATACCAGCTCATGCAAAAGAAGTGCAAACAACTTGAACATGAACAATGCTCTACCGTGAATTCTGTGTTAAGATTTGTGCACTTCAACGAACTAGCACTTTTTGTTGGTCTATGTTCATTCATTTGTTTGTTTGTTATACCTTTAAGGCTAAATTCAATTACATAGAGAAATAATTACAGTTAGGTAAAAAGAAACATACAGAAAGCAGTAAAAAAAGAGGTTAAGGGGGCCAATGGGAGCTTCAGCATGTGCTCGTTATAAGAGTTCATAAGTGTCGTAGTGCTACTCAATTTGAGTACAGTAAAACAAACTTCATTATACAGTGTCAGCTAAGCGATTCTCGAAAAGCTTTGTGTAAACTATGTTGCTATTGTGCATAAGACATTGATTCTTATCTTTGGATATTCATTTGCATGATAGAAACGAGTGAAAAAAAGCGTTAGTTTATTATGATGGAATTGACCATGTGTTAATGGTCCGGCCAGATTACACATAATAAAGGGTTTGTCATGCATACAGTGATGATGTATGGTATGAAATGACAGAGAGATGTGTGTTAATATGGTCGTGTTGAGGCAAGTCTTTGTACTGCTATGAAACTGAGATACACAACTTCCCAAGTCAGAAGTAGCATGATGAATGTTGGGTTCCATGCTACGCAATAATGAAAGCTAAAGTAAAGCTGCTTATCACTATGGTTGGATACAACTTCAAAAGTACGGAGAGGCGCCCTTTGCTCAGAAGGCTGAGGCAAGGCAGCAAATTGTCTCCTCATATATAAATACAACTTCAAAAGTACGGAGAGGCCCCCTTTGCTCAGAAGGCTGAAGCAAGGCAGCAAATTGTCTCCTCATATAAATACGACTAAATAGATTGTCGACAAAGTCACAGTCGTAGTCTATGTCATGACGCCTGCTAAAATTAACAAAAGGGATCTCAGGTACTGCATTTGTTCAGTAACCATGGGAATGATGGGTAGTCCAGTGAACTGCCAATTTTTCGGACTCTCTAGGGAGGGAAAAACCGTCCGAAAAAATGAATGCAAGCAAAAAAAAACGCATTATTTTACTGATAATTTTCAATGCAAGAAAAAAAAACACACCATTTTGCTAATATTTCTCAATTCAAGCAAAAAAACGCACCAATTTATTGATATTTCTCGGATCAAGAGGGTCAAGGTCGAAGTACCAGGCTTCCGGAACTCTGCCAAAGCATTAGTGGATGGCTCTGAAAAGAGCCGTTAACTTGCTCACATAACTCCTCGCTCACGTCAGCCTGCGATTGGCCACTCTTCACTAACCTAATAATGGCGGCTTTCTTCTCCATCGTTAAGCGACGGTACTGTTTTCCACGCTTCCGTGCTATCGGCGAGGACGACGAAGGCGGAGTGGGGGCCATCGCAGGCAAGCGAAAGCCTCACAATGGGAACAAAGTAGTTTGCTGATGAGCGTCGAAGCACCTAGGCTTAGCGTTGCAGAGCACACTTCACACGATCGTACAACCACGCACTACGCTAGCCAAACACCATGTGGGCTGCGTAAACAAAACGGCACGACGGCAGGCGACGGTTCTTCGGGTACTCGGGAGGTACCGCTGGTAAACATTCAAGGTAGCCAGCAAGGCCAGACCAAATCGGTGAGCGACGGTTAGTTCTAGTTCGAAGTGGTGAAATGCTTCGCGAAAGCGCTGCACGGGAAGTCAGAGTGGCACGCATGAGCACAAGCGCTAAGTTGGCGCCGAAAAATTTCCGGGTGGATAGTTTCAATTGTCAGCGAAGCATCCTTGCACGATAAACACGGCCAAAGTTAGGAATCTCGGAGCCCGTGTGTGTTTCTCCGCTAACGATCAACGATTCCAAAGCAACAGATGCCGCCACATTAGACCGACGCGCTCATTTATGCGATCGTAATCGCGTGTGACGCAGTTGTGGTAGTTTCCACTGGAGGTCAGTGGTGGTTTCCAACCTTTCATCGCGTCAAAAAGTCCGAAAAATTGGACTCCGGGCGGTTCGAGCGTCCAAAACTTCCTTATACATTGATTCTGTGGGGCTCGTGGCAGTGCCGAGATGTCCGAATTATTGGGCATGTCTGAAAATTCGAGCGTCCGAAAAAATCGGCAGTTGATTGACTGTACACAAATCTGCCTAGTCTTCACGCTTGCATGTTTTTAACACACTAACAGCTTTGTTTATTGCTTTGTATTTATTTTGTTTAAAAAAAGGACCGTTGTGAACTTCGTGAGCTGATTTGAATCGGTGAACCTAAATGTTTACCGTACTGAAGTGCGACCGCTGAACATTGGCTGATAGCTGTTTTGTGAAAAAGCATCTCTATACCATGCTAAGCCAAACGGAGCTGAACGTACGAAGAATAGGCAAACTTGTATACTACCCATCATTCCCATGCTTGCTGAAGTGCTATGCATTCCAGCTCCCATAGACACTAGTGCCAGAGTTCCCCCTAGCGTACTTATAGGAAGCTCTATGGCTCATGCGCCCACTTATGTTCTCTGAAGACAGAGTCATCGGCTGTTCCAGCTCATGAATCAGTCTTGGGTGCAGACCCATCCGTGCAACAAGCTCGTGTGTCTGGCTTTGAAGGGTAAATGGCACAAACTGTGTTGTATTAGACTGTAGTGCTAATTTAAACATCCAAGTGTTGGTATCAGAGGATAGCTTGTATTGCAGGAGGACACTGGGTCAGAGGTGTGCCTAGAGTACCCACAACTTTGGCCAACAGTGATCAGCAGGTGAGCTTTCTCGTGTGAATGATTGTTAGTGTGGACAACCAATATAATTAGAGTTAATTGACAGGTTTGCTTGGAACTGGTTGGCATTAATGCTTTATTTAAAAAATTAATAGCAGCTCCCATCATTTAGTATTTTCACGGTGTAGATGTATTAGCTCTTGCTCGGTATAGCTAGTCCAAGTTTTATTATATGTGAGTTGCAGTGCAGAGAGAAGTGAGCACATAAGAGCTGCATTGTTGAAGAGGCAAGCTCGTATGATTCCCAGTTTTTAATGAAAAGGGGGCCCTTATTTAAGAAATTCATGTGATATACACGTTATGTAGTAAATTGTTTGCAAAAATTTGTATAAAGGGTTCGTGTGAAGTACTAAGCTTGCAACTTTTGACATCAAGAGGTCATTTAAGGCCCAAGCCACACATGCTTGATGTATGGAAGCACAAGCTCATGTATCTATGCGTGCAAGGAGTGCAAATCAAAACATAGCAAAATACTTATGCTCACAGATACTTATGCTAAAAGGAGATAGCGTCTCTCATTTGGCCACTTTCGTCAAGCAGCTGTAGCAGTTACACACAGCTGTAGTGTGTGTAGTGCGACATTTACTGCTTACAAAACCAGGCTGGTGTAAACAAGCGAGCAAGCGCTGGTATGAATCTGTTGCAGGTGTAAACTTCCATTGCCCATGAAGCACAGTAGGTGCGAGGCAGATAAGGGAGCACTTGTGCTTGTCAATAGGCATAGACATTGTTTGCACTTTAGCCTCTCTTTTAACTGCATATGCTCCACAAACTTTGTTAAGGCTTAAGAATGCTTTCTTTTTGGTTCATGCAGCCCATCCAACTATTGCCGGTCAACAGCAACTGATGTGTTTCATGCGACACTGCAACACTGCCTAGCTACCAACAACTCCCACGCTGGTTGGGTGAAAGTACTTGCTGACTTCTCCTATGGTATGGTCAATGCCCACTGATTCTGCAGCTTCCTTGCTGAATTTAGGCTAAAAAATATTGTAGCTAAGATGGAAGGCAAACCATGTCGGACAAATTTTGATGGAACACTTCGATGTTGCAGTACCTTTTTCAATTCATAATGTTTTATTTATTAAAAGAGTTCATTGTCAGTAAACACCGTATTGCTTTTCCATCCTGTTTGTGCAACCTCTGTGAGACCTTCTGGTGCTTGAAAAATGGCAACTAAAATGTATTGTAAACATGAGCAATTACAAGTTTTTTGCAGTTATCATAAATGTAAACTGAAAGTTCTCTTCGTAGTTGTAAATTATTACTGGCTTGTGAAGGAGAAAGGGTATCTTTATGTCTGTGTAGGCAGTAAGATGTCACGTTGTTTTATTGTGGTTGATAATTTTCATTCCAGTAAGCATCAGTTTACTGCGTTTGTCTGTTTCTGAATAATCTGCTTGGTGCGGTGGAATTCGAAGAATCCATGTACCCATGTTTCGAAGGAGTGGTAACCACTTGGCTATCCCTGCATGCCGTTTCCCATCATAGCATAACCTTGTATACTACATTATAGAATAGTATAGTAAAGAACAGGAAGGGGTCGAGCATGAAGAGGACAAATGTGCCCACAGGGCGCGGGATCGAATGCCGGGTGCGGTGGCTGCATTTTCGATGGAGTTGAAAATGCTTCAGGCCCGTGTGCTCAGATTTGGGTGCACAATAAAGAACTCCAGGTGGTCAAAATTTCCGGAGCCCTCCACTACGGCGTCTCTCATAATCATATTATGGTTTTGGGACGTTAAACCCCACATATCATTTAAATCAAGAGGACAAATGTGAGTGCGACAAGGTGGGAAGGGAGGAGGGGATAGAGTAAAACATGGCATCAGAACAATGACAAACTGAGAAATAAAATGAAAGACAGAGAATGAAATGAATAGCGAGATTAAAAAAATGAGAAAGGTGCAAAAACGAGAAATACAGAGCCAGAGAGAAAGTATGAAAACAAAGATAAAAAATACCAACTCAAGGAAAGTAATAAAGAGCTATATAGAGAGAAAGAAGTTGAAGTAAGCAAAGACAGAGAAGGCTTAATGAAAGCAGAGATAAGAGAAATAAATAAGGATAAAACTCGCAATACTCAGCAAGAAAACAATCAGGACTACACCTAAGTGCTGATCAGCACTGCTATCTCTTAGCAATGCGCCTGCTGTGAAAACGAAGCTAATTTGAGCATTCCTGTCAGGATTTGAGGTGGTGCACATCTTTGTTTTCGAATTGCTAGCATTTATCTATAAATTTATTGCACCTACATTCATGAGATTGAAGGTATAGAATGTTGCCTGTGTATCTTTGGTGCCTAGGCGTGTCATTTTTATTAATGCCTAAAAATCTGGCCTTTAGTAATGAGGTCTGCAAGGCTGGTTTCGAATTTCGGACTCTAAGGTTGCACACTCTTTTCCGGCACATCAGTTGGTCTTCCACAGAACCTGAACAAGGAGGAGATGCTGAGGAAACAGCATCTCTGCCTTTCACTTGTAAAGTATTGTTGGCAACACTGGTTGCATCAATCATATACATAAATACAATTTGGTCGCTGGTTTACCTCACTCTTGATACAAGTACAAAACACCATCCCGCCTGTGCATCATCGGCCCAGCCAAAAGAGACACTTTTCAAAATGCTGTCTCATGAGAATATGCTTATGAATCCTAACATTTCTATTCTGTAAGTTTGCTTTGCTTAGTCCCAGATTTTCATAGAAAAATAAAAGCCCTGTCAAAGAAAACCTGGTCTGGCACTTTTTTTTAATCATATGTTATGAATTGTGGTTCCTGAAGTGCTAATGTGTATCATTATGTTGAATGGAAGCCTGTAAGTAAATTCAGGTGTTTTCCATTTCACTTGTAGTAGTATCCACAGGGGATAGATAGAGGCTGTTGTTTCGCTTTGTAAGTCGGTAGTTTTATGTAAAACTGTCCCTTGCAAATCTCATCTTTGTCCTGTCTATGCATAACAGCTCAAGGCCACCACTCGGCGGCACTCAAGCAATATCTGACTGCCCTGCTCATGAGCACCGACTACTTCACTCAACCACCGCCGAGGTCCCTCGCAGATGATGTCATGTACAAGAAGATGGCCCACTGCTGTAGCAAGTTGCAGTGTCACACTCAGGTTGGCATGTCTTTGTATTTTTCTTGTCTGTGTATAAGTGACCAAATAATATAGTTACTAAATTTAAACAGCCAGGGGTGAAGTGCTCATGCAGTAGAACATAAAAGTAGAACAATAACACAACACTACTACTACTACTACTGCTACTACTACTACTAGTACACATCATAGGTCAGCAAACTTACTCATGAGTCCACTCACTCGGACTCGCTCGCACTCACATCGAGCCACGAGTTGGAGCGAATCTGGGTGAGCAATATTTTGATGAGATTGAGTTTAAGTGAGTTCTCTGAAGGAAATTTTTGTAAGTGTGAGTTCGAGTGAGCTTGGCTCAAGCAGCTTTTGGTGCGTCTGTGTTCGAGTGAGTACAATGCGTAAGATATGAGAGTTTGGGTGGCTTCCACTTCTTCTTTTGCCGTCTGTCTATCTGGGGATATGCTGTGCTGACCTGAGGGATGGACTGCGCTAGATCATAAGGAGCTTTGCCCTTAAAAAGAAAAAAATGTCACAGCTTTGCCGCAAAAGCGAAGCAATGAACGCGATAGCAACAAATTGGAAGGTCATGCGCAGAATGGCAAGCAGATCGAATTTCTGCGTTTCTTATGCACATATGTCGCATGAAACGTACTCACGGGTACCGATGAACGCGAATAGGTGTCTCAGTTGTTAGTTCGCTGTGTCTGAAATCTGAAAAGCGCACCCTTTTTGCAGAGGCTGTGCAACAATTGCAGTGACCTCTAAGCGCCCCGTAACTACAACAGAATTGTTCCAGTGCAAGCCCAACGCCAGCCAAGACGTATGTCCTCCCCACCGAGAGATAAGGGTCTGAGAAAGATTGTCTACTCCCCTCTCTCCACGGCCCAAAGTATGCGTGAGAGATAAGAGCCGCCGTGCGCACATTGCGCCATCTTGCTGATAATGCTTAAAACACGATAGTTCCCCCCCTAGATGCCTGCCAACAGCGGTGAGTGGTAGGTACAAATAGCTTGCCGTTTGAACTTTGAAGGAGGTACCCCTCGGTGGCTCAGTAGTTAATGCCTCGCATTCACGACACAGAGGTCTTACGTTCGATTCCGCGCGCCAGAGTCTTTTTAGGGGCGAAGCTCCTTAAAGTGGTACCGGTTTGTCCCTCGTCGTAGTGCGTAACCAGTCTTACGTTTTGACCTGCAAAGTGGTGCCGGTGGCAGATCTCTCCTGTGCGTTGGTGAACAATAAAAAATTCGCAGCGTGCGCATTGACTAAAAGTTGAATTCTCCTGTCTCTCATTCCTCATTAGCAGCCATTAGCATGTACATAAAGCAATATCTGACAAGGAAGGGTTGCTACGTTATAATCGTCGGGCCGCAGTGCCATGAATACAGTGAGCTAGTATATACCATGAACTCGAGGTGGTTAAAGGTGGGAAGTAGACACGAAGCAAAAGCGGAATTCTCCTGTCTCTCATTCCCCATTAGCAGCCATTGGCATGTACATTGAACACTATCTGACAACAAAAAGTTGCTACGTTATACTCGCTGGGCGTAACTTCCTTGGTTTTAGAAAGGTTTAGCGAGCATTGGGCTGCAGTGCCATGAATACAGTGAACTAGTATATATCATGAACTCAAGGTGGTTAAAGGTGGGCAGTTGACACGAAGTGCAAGCCGTAGGAAAGTGTGCGTGTGCTACCTCTCCTGTAGTCCTCGGAATGTCTGCTGGATGGCGGTGCTTTTATATGCTGAATATATGATGAAAAGATGCGAGATGGTGGTACTTGGAGTGTTGACTAGATGGACGAACGGACACATAGACAGATGCATGGACGCATGGACGGACGCAGGGGTGGAAGCATGGACGAATGCAGGGACGGACACACGAACAGACACACGCCCGGACGGGCGGATGGACGCATAGACAGTCACACAGACAGATGGAAGCAAGAACGAATAGACGGACGGATGCTTCGCCCCACTCTTCATCATTCACCCCATGGATATGCTGCCATTTTTTTCTGAATTTTGTTTTGTTGCGTTTTCATACATGTAGATACGTAAACATATTTGGTGCACGACATCGATGCCGACGCTCACATCGACGCCGGCAGCGAAATCCAGCCGAGAGTGTCCGTATAATTGCTACCGCAATAAAAGAACATAGCAGCGCTGCGCAGGCTTGTCGAGTGAAGAAGAAGGGCGGCTGCCTAAGCGTCAGAGTAACCTTTGCACAGACACGCATGCTTAGCTCTGGCCGCTAGCGGGCCCCGCACGCTCCGCATGGAATGCACGGTTGCGTCCTCTTCAAGTGTGTATTCAGTTTCCCGTAAAAAAAAGCGTCGTTATCGTGTTTGTTGTTTTGCCCGCAAAGGTAAAAGCTAATCGGTTTTCTATGCGAGCTTTTGCCTTCAACTGCCGCGAACGTAAACATCAAATCACGAGGGGTTCTCCTGGATCATTGCTTTAGTGCGATGTTTTCGACGCCCAATCTTCATGTTGTTTTGTACAAACCTGCTCGCAACAACATGCTGAGTCGTAGGCTAGGCCTGATCACCCACTGTTCATGCTTTTTGGTGGCGATCGCAGTTTTGTACAGAATCAACATAACTCTTTGCGGTGGCCCTACTTGAAGGAAAGTAGACTTGGGTGGCGCTTGTAACACTCAAATGGTAGTTAGCAATTTGGTGGCAATGTCTTGGATATGGCGTGCGAGCCCATGAAATCAAACGATCAGTACCCTTCAGCACAAATGATATATGTGGAGCTGAAACGTAATTGGCAAATTTCTGCGATAGTGCTTTACTTTAATAGTTTTTTTTTTCACATTCGTTTTGTTGGCAACGCAGGTCTTCTGATGTTAATTACTTGAAATTTGAATGCATTGCCTGCTTCGATTTTCACTGTGTGCTCAACACGTTTTGAACTAGTGTAGCCTACATGAAGCAGGTTATTTCGGCTGTCGCGCAGATATTCATAAGTTCGGCGACATATATGTTATCAGTGGTCTGTGCTGTAGTCGGAAATGAAATGTTAGAAAATTTTATCCTGTGTAATAGGCGCACCCCCAACTTGGAGTCGCATTTTCCAGAAGAAAAGTGTGCCTATTATAGGAGTAAATATGGTATGTTATTTTAGCATTAGCACAGGCATAAAATGCCATATCATGTCAGGTCGTGACGAGTTTGGTCTCTAAAGATGTTGTTGGCTCCGACATACATATTCAAGTTGAAGATACGTTTCTATGACATGAATTAAAGTGGAAACTAAAGTATGTGCGTTACTTAGCCCTAAATTGTCCCATTGCAATGTGTGAGTACTGTGCATGTAAAATGATAGTAGCCTTTCTTTGCTTTTGGTGTGCATGTATTTTTTTTTTGTAGTTGTGTCATGCTGCCCTGGACAAGACAAGTCTTCACCATAAAACTATAGTGTAGTATCAGCACTGCATTGTACCAACCAACTCAAAATCTTGTCAAAGCAGAAGGTTCTGTCCTTCCTCAACAAGCAGAAGCTGCTTTACGATAACTACACTTAGACGTTGAAATGAAATGATACATGCAATGATGTGTTATGCTTGTTTAAATAAAGAACAAAATTTGAGCTCGTTTGAATTAAAAATGCTGTTTGAAAATTTGCATTGTGCATTTACAGAAGGGCCAATTAGTGAGTTCGTTAATATGCTGTGGTTTTGCTGCAGGCTGCTCTGCTTTGCCAGTTAATGGAAGAGCCAGACTACAGTGCATCATTCAAGTCCCTGAATGAACGCCAGTGCCAAGACAGCTGTGATTCTCTGTATGAGCACGTGTTTGATGTGACACTTCTCGAGTTCCTCGTGCACCTGCACACACGACGTGGCGAGTTGGAGTCCCGCCAAAAAGCACTTCACTGCATGGGCTTGCTTGAACTCAATGCCAGCAACAATGAAGAGATCCAGCGAGAGGCTGCCAATGTGCGTCGAGGAAACTTTCTGCGAGTCTTGGCTCGCCAGTACCTTTAGGCGTGTGTTTCACACATTCATGCACTTTGCCAGCAGTTTCACACGCGAAGCCTTATGCTGCATGCACAAGAGTCTGACTGTAGCATTGCGTGACTGTGCCAGAAATGTGTACGTACAGCTATTTATGTTTCTAATCAACATCTGTTCATCGTTGTGTGAGTTATGTTCATCAGAATGGAGTAATGAATTTAATTCAATTATCCTTTATTTAAATAATAAAGAAAAGGCAGGATTCAGAAACTTCAAGTTGGTATTGATAGCAAGTGGCATCCTTGGGTGTGATTTAGCTGAGTGGCACCTAAAGTTTTCACGTTAAAAAGGTGATAAATTTGGACTGACGCAAATCGGGAGAGAAATGGCAGCATTTATTTTCTCTCGATCTACATGAAAAGAGAGCATGGTGCCACCCCTGATTTTTATGGTGATAAAGTCTGCCAAGTCTTTCAAAGGGATCTTCAGCTTCAAATTCGGAGTGGGCAGGTCATAAAGATAATTCACACAGTGTTGCTCTTCGGCTTCCTTCAGCATTGTTTTGGCTCGGAAACATTAGATTTAGGCCTGTACCAATACTGAACCTTAAGGGGGTTTTGATGATTTTGTACAGCCACGCGGTGGTCTAGTGGCTGAGGTACTCTGCTGCTGACCCGCAGGTGGCGGGTTCGAATCCCGGCTGCGGCGGCTGCATTTCCGATAGAGGCGGAAATGTTGTAGGCCCGTGTGCTCAAATTTGGGTGCACGTTAAAAAACCCCAGGTGGTCGAAATTTCCGGAGCCCTCCACTACGGCGTCTCTCATAATCATATAGTGGTTTTGGGACGTTAAACCCCACATATCAATCAAATCATGATTTTGTTCAAACGCACTTAGCCAGCAAATAGAGTCCTAAAGATCACTCGCTATCAGATTGAAGCTCTCTTCGACAAGTGCGTAACGTATTACAAAACTTCGAAAGGCCCCCCAAACAACTTTCGACAACATTTTACCATTTCAAGTAAACACACTCACATCGAGTTCAGAATGCCAGCACAATCAACAATGCCAAACAACAATGCTATGAGCCGCCTGTTTAAGTTTCAGCACTCTATTTTCCTGGACGGCCCTTTCGGCAATTTTTCTGCTCTCGGTGTTCGCTGTCACGTCAACATTCTCATTTGCTCGTCAGCCACAAAACCAGTTTGTCCACTCACAGGTATATGTACACTTGTCACTCTTCCTTCTCACACAGTCAGGAGGAGCACTCGGCCTGGAAGAGAGGCGAGCCAAGGAACGAAGCATAGCAGTGGTCTCTTGCGTGAGCAAATGTGTGCAACTCCGCTATTACGGCACCGTTTTGTAGAGTTCTCATGGCACCATGTTCATTTTATACCCCTGCACAGCTGCAATGCCTCTGCTAAATTTTAACCTCTGTGTAGTTTAGGGGCCTTTTAAACATGCTGTGTTCCTCCTCAATAGAACAGTAACTACAGGGTTCAGCTGCTAACCAGAATTTCAAGAGTTCGATTCTGGCTGGCTATGGCGGTCCCATTTCGATGAAGGCGAAATGTATAGGCTCGTGGATTTTGCGACGTCAATGCATGTTAAAGAGCACCAGATGGTCAAAATTTCCGGAGCCCTCTACCACATGTCTCTCATAATCATACTGTGGCTTTGGAACGTAAAACCACTGAGACTATTATTATTAAACATGCAAATCACTCTGTATTGCAGCTGCACAGCTAAATGAGTCTTTAACTTCCTGCTTCTATTCTCTATAGCAGTGTTACATTATAGTATCACTTTCTGCCAATCTGATCAGTCCAGTCTACAACATTGAACATCAGGTGGTCCACGAGCATCGTCTGCGTGTGTTACAGCATGCTCTGTGTTGATTTGATTGATGATTGATATGTGGGGTTTAACGTCCCAAAACCATCATATTGTCATAATATGATTATGAGAGACGCCGTACTGGAGGGCTCCGGAAATTTTGACCACCTGGGCTTCTTTAACCTGCACCCAAATCTGGGCACATGGGCCTACAACATTTCTGCCTCAACCAGAAATACAGCCACCACAGCCGGGATTCGATCCCGCGACCTGCGAATCAGCAGCCGAGTACCTTAGCCAGCATGCTCTGTGTTGATGTAAACTTGATGACAGTGTTCATCTACAAGTATTTCACCCGGACACCGTGTAATTGCCCTAATGGCATTGTGTGCTGCAAGTCTAGCGATTGGTGACTTGTAAAGCTGCAATATCGCGTAAGGCAAGCAAGGAAAGTGGCAAGCGGAGCGGCAACAGTGCGTTGGTGAAGTGAGCACTCGCTTGCTGGATTCCGTGCCGACCGGTTGTGCCCTCGCGATCTCCGGCGTCAGCGTAGCTCTGGCCGACTGGGCTCGCCCTAATCATCTCTTGACGCCGACAACCTTCGACGATAGTGTAGCTCTGACCGACTGGACTTGCTCTCGCAAGTGGTGCCCCGATCTCGGACTCCTGTGACCGTGTTTCCATCTTTCCTATCTCTCCTATCCCCTCGATTTGTCGTCGCTCTCTTTGGCTTACCACCTTACGCCTCTTCTTCTTTTCTACACCTTTACTTCTACCCTTTTAATCCCTCCTCACGCCCATCTCTTGTGAGCTACTGTTGACGTGTCGCTCGCTGGAGCAGACAGTTACGGGGCTCACTTTTATCTTCCTTTCTCTTTTAAGAACCACTTAGTAGTGCAGCGAGCGTCCGTTTCTCACTGTTCGATCAATGCCAAAATCCACGTGTCTACGGCTATAATTTTTATTTCTGAAGACACGAGCACATTGCCCAAGTTTACACTTGCACATAGTGTTCACGTGATGTTACAGTTTCTCAGCACGGGGTAACCTGACATGGTGGTCAGCGCGACTTTTTATCCTACTAGAAAGTGGCGGGAAAGCAAATGGGCTTATCCACGTCCCCCGCAAGAAGTACTACACAGGGTGCCGCGAGCACGTCTCCAAGGGCAAAGGTGATTTACAGGGACACCAGGACAAAGGGCCCGGCTGCTTGAGCAAGGGCAAAGGCGCTCGCGTTGGCTTCGGAGAGATACGGGTCGGCATAGCCTGGCCACGCACTAGGACACCGCACCGCTCTTTGCCTGGCGTTCAGAAGGGGGTCGACAAAAGGTAAGCGTTCCCCGCGGGCGTAAGGCGTCGTTGGCTAAGTCCGAACGAGTTCCAAACAAAGGGAGCGGACGGACGCAAAAGAAATGCGTGCTTACTCTATGTCGTCCCGGAGAGGTTCTCTCTCACTCCCGACATGCGCACGCGAAACGTTTCAAGATAGAACGCGTGTGGAGCCACAGCCGACATTCGCTACCGGGTGAGAGGAGTTAAACGTCTCTCCCAGCGTGGCAGACCACGGAGAAGGGGAGTCATGTCGGGTTATATAAGTGGTTATAACAAAAGAAAAGTGCCGACCCGTAATTGTCTCTCCTTACAAGGACACCTCGACAGGTCAACACAGGAATGGGGTATGGGGAATAAAAGATATAGAGAGGGAAAGATTGGAAAATTGAAAAAAAAAAAAGAGGTTAGGGTCATTCAATCTGCTTGGGACGTGAGAACGGAGAAAGAGGCGGCAAAGCCCGCGCAAAGGCGGCGGGCTGGCCTAGCTTCCCACAAGCTTTGCCTCTATGGGAGAGCTTAGTGCTCTGGGAGTGGAAGTTGCAAGGGGCACTGCATCTCCGCGCAGGGCATCGGGCAGACCGGAGGGAAGCTGGCTGCTGGTGCCACTATGAGCTCACTGTGTAATATCGTGGCGTGTCATCGTGCAGTTTGCACCATATGATTATTATTGTGCCTAGCGTGCTGTGCCAGAAGATCGGGATAAGATGCCGTATATCTGCGGTGTGCTTGGTTGTCGATCCGGTTACCAAAAAATGAAAAAGTCTCGAAGCTCTCGCTGCTTAGACACACTGAATGGCTGGAAAAGAGGAAGAAATTGGTGGTCTCACATTTGATTCCCCGAATGTGCGCATATGCAAAAAGCACTTCGATGAGAGTGACATATCGGTTGTGTCGATCGGTGGCTAATCGAAGGTGTGAAGAAACTGCGCGACGTTCCGAAACTTTTGCCGACGCTGTGCCTAGGATTTCCCACGACATAATGGCGTATTTGTATAGTGCAGAAAGATGTAGAGCTCGCCCACTTACCAAGCGTCGCCGGAAACCATCAGCTGAGAGTGAGGCTGTTGAGGCTGCATCAAAACTAGCTGCACTAAACACCAGCTATATTAAAAGCGACACGCATTTGATGAAGGCGAGCATATTGGACGGAGTTCCTTGTTGCATGCTAGTAGGTAATATATAAGCGCGATGAGTGAAATAATTGCCGTTTTCTTTTAACAGGCACTGAGATGACCAAAAGTGTAGAGAGGTGACATGCCAAACAGATGGAGTTACTTGTAGCTCCTCACAGCTGAAACAAGGAAAGCACACATCAGTTGCTTCGAACAAAGACTTCTGTGCTACCAATAGAAGCATTCTATGGGGACGGCGCAAGAGAATTGGCACCAAAATGCTGTACGAAACTTGCGCAAGCTGTAAAAGCGTGAAAAGTTAATTTTCGATATCAGTGCGTCATGAGCACGAGAACATGACTTTTTGCGTCGCATGCTGACGCCGCTGGCATGGCACGCAGTTGGTCAATTTTCACGTTTGAGAAGGCGTGTAGGCTTTCGCCTTAACAATGAAAACAATCCCATGTTCCGCCAGTTAACCCGGTCCTGTGCTTGATGCTGCCAATTTATACCCGCAAACTTCTTATTCTCATCTGCACACCTAACCTTCTGTCTCCCCCTAACCTGCTTGCCTTCTCTGAGAATCCAGTTAGTTACTCTTAACGACCAGCGGTTACCCTGTCTACTCGCTACATGCCCGGCCCATGTCCATTTCTTATTCTTGATTTCAGCTATGATATTTTTATCCCCCGTTTGTTCCCTAATCCACTCTGCTCTCTTCTTGTCTCTTAAGGTTATACCTACCATTTTTCTTTCCATTGCTTGCTGCATCGTCCTCAATTTAAGCTGAACCCTCTTTGTAAGTCTCCAGGTTTCTGCTCCATAGCTAAGTACTGGCAAGAAACAGCTGTTATATACCTTCCTTTTGAGGGATAGTGGTAATCTACCTGTCATAATTTGAGAGTGCTTGCCGAATGTGCTCCACCCCATTCTTATTCTTCTAGTTACTTCAATCTCGTGGTTAGGCTCTGCGGTTATTACCTGCCCTAAGAAGACA